AAGCTCTGGGCGTTTCTTACAGTAATGAAAAGACAGACCACACCCTCAACTTTAACCTCAACAGATCTGGTTGATCAAGATTACTGATTGATGTTAAATTGCTGACGTGATCCTGTTATAACAATGTGCTTTTGTCTCTGATAAAGGAGTTTCTGCCTTGCTCTGTTGTTTGTCTCTGCTAATCCACAGGTAAACTTGGCCTACTTTTCAGAGCCTTTTTCAGAAGACACACCAGCAAACCAAATCTGTGTGGGCCATCTGAGTTTGATTGGAATACGTAGAAACTGACATAATAACAGTGTGGTGCACAACACAAGATGCAGGTTCATTGCACTCTTAGATTAGATAACTGCTTTAGGGCTGCATCTAACGATTATTTGTGTAATCGATTCAACTGCTGTTTATTTTCTTGATTCATTGATTCATTGTTCGGTCCATGCAATGTCAGAAAACTGAAACTTACAATTGTCCAGAGCCGAGGTTGACAAGAAAAAAACCCCCAAAACCCCCAAATATTCCACTTCCTAGCAGCGACTCCTCACATTAGAGAGGGCCTAACAAAGGAATTGTTGTCCCTTTGGCTTGAAAAATCAACACGGTTGCAGATAAAATGATCTGATGATTAGCTAATCGATGAATTGACTAATTGTTTTGGCTCTACTTCTGTTTCAAATGTGAAATTTCATCATCAGTCAGAAATAATTTATTAGCAACGGGGAAATGTTCTGTACGTCAGCAGTTACTGTCAGCTGCTCCTCAACTGCTCATAGTGGGGTCTGTTTTCTGACATGTCCTCCACTGGGAGATATCGTGTTAGTCCTTTCTAGCCAAGGTCTAAAAACCGTATTGTTTCTCTCTTTTTCTCTTCCATTAGTCCATGTCGTTTGTGGTTACTATGATGTCTGTAGGTGTAGCTGTTGAAAGAAGATACATTCTGATAAACTGGATTTAATATGATAGTTTTGATAAAGCTATACAAAACAATGCCTTCTTCCTTTTTTTTAGATCATGATTTAAATTTCAAGCTCATTTTTGGAACATTGTAAAGGCTTCTGGTAATTTCATAGTGTGTTTAAAGGGAAAATGAAGAACAGATGTATCTTTTTTTTTTTTTCCTGTTGTGTTTGCCTGCTCTTTTGCCTCTTTATTCAGCTTTTGATGTTAAATCCATGTTGCAGTAGTGATGAGTCAACAACTGAAAAAAAGAGACCTACTTTAGCCTGTCTGTGTATTCAGGGCAAACTTGTGCTATAAATTCAATTTAGCCCTCATTCAAATTCAGTTGTTATAAGCAATCAAAACCTAAAAGACGATTACAACCAATAAAAAACGTTCAGACAATTTAAAAAAATAAACAAAATAAAAACATGCAAAAATACTTTTATTACTAATTACCCTAGCTGGTTAATATATTTGGAAGACACACAAAGTAGGAGCACCCAAAACAACTTTCAGATGTGGTGATGAACTAGTGAAATCATATCATGTACAGTTAAATATTTGATCTCTGTGCTGGGATTGGAAGTTAAACCCAAAATTATATAACTTTAAAAATAAGTAAATAAAATCTGCTTCCTATCTGTAATATTTCTTCACAAACAATCAAAACAACTGAATAACCCTATAATTTTCATATGTAGTGTTTCAATAAAAAACAATGTGGTTTCCTGTCTCTCCAATGACTAATAGATGGAATGTGGAACTAAGCTCAATCTACATGACTATCTAAAAACAAATCAATACACATTTGAAAAAAGCCCTTATACATATGTGTCTGTCTGTTGGCCGGTGTGTCTCTTTGTATCGATACAAGATAAAGTTTTATTAGGACATGCAATGATCAGCATTGTGTATTTGAAATCCAAACAACAAAACCGACTAAAATAATCCATTTCAGATGGAACAGTTGAGTCGAATATGAAACAATGTGCTCTCTGTGCTGTAATTGGTGGAACATGGAGCTTAACTCTGTCTACATAACATCTAAAAATGCAGTGCGACACATCAAAAAGGCCATCATCGTTTTCCTGAGGACAGGGGAACAATCACTGAAAGACGAGGAAGAAACAAGCGTAATTAGTTTGACCACCATGTCATTTGAAACGGCATTAGCAATAACAAATCAGAAAACAATATAAGATTGGAACAAAGATAAATTAAAGGCCCTGTGTTTCATGATAAAATGATTGAAAATGAGTTTGAGTGTAGTGTGCGTGGTTGTGAGCGTGCATGTACAGTACCCGTGTGTGTGTGTGTGTGTGTGTGCGTGTGTTTGTGGAGTATATTTTGGTGGCAGTGACGCTGCAGAGCTTAGCATGTGCATATGGGTACGTATATATGTCTGTGTGTATGTGTGTGTGTGCGTGAGCG